AGGAAGGCCCTCAGGGCCAGATTTGACCTGAGGCTTAGTTCACTACAGTCCCCCCTTTGGAAATCATCGCCTGTCCATGGGGATGAATTCCAACATGAACTTACGCCTTCGAATGTCCTTGAGCTTGATGTAATCCAGCAAGGAAAACAAAAGTCAAAGGAGGTAATCCCACAATGTTTTTGGTAATTCCATTGTGTTGTTGGTACTTCCATAATGTTGTTGGTAATTCCATTGTAGCAATGCTTTAACCCCTTGGAAACAAAGTCTGTAATCCATTGAAAAAGTCATATAATCCACAACGATAAATTCACAACGAATGGAGGTGTTGATTGATCAGCATACAGAGGGGTTCCCTTGGATTGAACTGAAGATGCGGCCACTGGATGAAGAGTGGAGACCAACGTCAGGATTGCAGGTCTCCTCCAGCGAAGGTCGTCGCTGTGTGGAAGTCCAGTCGGTGCCGTTCTGGTTCAAATGTGTCATGCAATTATGTGGTTTAAGGTGGGCTTATGAAGGGGATTGTACATAAGGCCTTAACCTATATGCATCTGGTGTGTAAGCTATTATGATTGGGAACAGCTACAGCTACCAGTTAAGGGGTGGAACATGCTGAAAAGGGTAGTTATAGGGGTTTATACCTATAGAAGGGCATTCCAAACTATTTTTCCATTCCTAACTTGGTTTAAGTTAGCTTTACATGGCAAAATATAGTTTGGTTCAATTGCCTGTTGTCCTTTTAGACGAACGACTTGAGATTGGGTGTTTGGTTTCCCCATAAATGTTTTTGGAGTCTATGGCGAGACTCATCAAAAAGAATTAGCTATCCCCCCGAATAGGATTGTTCGAGTAGGTTCAGCTTAAGCGTTGTGAGACCAATGTAGATTATGGTACTTAAGGTAGCATTAATCTACATTGACTCCGCAAAGATTAGGTTTTAACGAGTGAACTGCATGTTGGCATAGTTAAAGTCCTTTTAGTCTCTAACTTAACTACACACAAAATTCATTCTTGCTTGGGGTGTTCAGAAACAATACCAAAAACCAATTAAACGATGTCTCAACATCGACAAAAACAGTGACTAAGCAACCAGTAAAACAACATTTCAACATTGACAAAAGTAGTGATTAAGCAACTAGAAAACGACGTTTCGGTGCGCCACTCACTCTGAATGTCAGATTTGATCACGTTATCGCGTCTGGTAACATTACCCTAACTGGCGTCACCCCCCTTCGGTCATGGGGGACCGCGAACACGGGTGAGGACGTCGCTCCATGAGCAAAAGTTAGGCTGTCCTTGAGTAGTTTTAGCTGTTTGCGCAGCTGAAAGAGGACTTTAAGGTCTGGATTGGAATCCAGTTCGCCTTTCGATGGAGTGTATTTGTCTGGGTCAGTCAGATACAGTATCATCGAGTTAATTGCAGGATCCAACTTCTGAAGTTGGATGATGTCTGGGTCAGTTGAAAATGACTTTTCATATTTTAAAAGAACTTGGCGAAGTTTGTCTCTTTCTTCATCAGATGTCAGAGCGTCGGCTTGGGCGACCACCTGGGCGATCTGTGATGAGACTGATAAGGGTTCTTGCTCTTTGGGGAGCTCCAACGAATCCCTTTCTGAGTCGTCGGGACTGTCTATGGGTAAGACACCATAGGTTTGAGGTCCTTGGTCGACGTCATCGGTTGAGAAAAGAGCGATGGCCTGTGTTGGTTTTGTGAACCATACTGGCCCAGCTTCTTGACTCGGTACCAGGTTATCTGGGAGTCCTCCCAGAAATGGAATGCCTAGTTCAAAATCATGAAAATCAGTTGAAATCAACCATCCTAGCATAGTGTTTTTTGGTATCATCACCTCATCTGTGCCTGTGTTACACACAGAAATAGATGTGGTCCTGGAGTCAAGGCTCACTTGGTTCGTGGCTTCCACGGACAGTCCCAAGTTGAAAAACGCAGGAGAAGGTTGAAAATATGCCTGTTTATGGCTAATAGCTTGTCCAGCTATGATGTGGATTCGCACCATTAGGTTAGTCACCTGAGGTGGTACTATGGTGGTTTGGTTGCTAGCAACCTGGCAGGCCTCTGGAATGGTCTGCCCAGCCTTAAGGTTTGCTGTGTCTAGCACAGGAGGATCCTTTGTGGCTGTCTTCAGGGACCACAGCACCTTGTTGATGGTGTCCACGTGGACACCCAACCTTACCAAAATGTCAGAGCCTATGTAGGTTGCATGTGGTAAGTTTTGGATCACGAGAAACGGGTGAACCAGTTCTCGTTGGTTCCATTTCAGTTTTAGGTTAATGACTCCTTCAGCGGTCATTACCTGTGAACTATTGGGAACTAATGGAAAGCGGAAAGCTTTTTTAATTAGTTCTAGACCCACGTGTTTGTGAACCAAGGTTTCATAGAAAGCTCGGTTAATCGCTGATTTATCTGTCCACAGAGACAGAACAGCATCGTTGGTGTGGGATCCTTGGATCTCTACACCTTTAACTGCCAGTGGTAGGTAGTTTTCGGTGGACTCTGACTGCTCCAGCTCACAGAGGAGGCTGTCTTGTTGGGTCAGAGTTTGGACCACCGGGTGGGTCTCTTTGGTTTCACATGATTTCAGAGGAGTACTCACCGGGCTCGTGTCCTCGGCTGAGGAGTCCTTTGCGCCTTCCGCGGTACCTGCTGTTAGGCAGTCTGTGTTACACTCCGGAGGCATTTGTATTGGCAGTGGTTTGCTCACCTTTGCCCACATTGTTTGATCACCATAATCTATAATCGCGTCGAAGCGATTTATAAAATCCTGGCCAACCAAAAATGGGAATGAGTCAACACGAGACACGTGTACCGGGTGGTATAGTGTCATTCCGCCAACCTGCATGTGAACCATTGCTATAGCTGTCAGGGTCGTCCTCTTCTCTGAGAGACCCTGCATTTCTATAGCACATTCTGTGAGAGGTATTATCCTGTTAACACCGGCAGCGGCTGTCCTCAGCTCTCGAACAGTTTAGCTGACATAATTGTTATGTCTGCCCCACCGTCCAGAAGTGCTTCATGTGTGAGGACACCTTCGAGTGTTACTGACCAGAAACCTCTTAGGTTTTTTCTGACGTTTCTTCACACGTTCAGCCTTGTCTGTGTAATCTTGGTTTGTCTGAACCGTCAGCACAGCAGTAGCTGTTTCTGAGTGTTCAGCTTGCAATGAGTCGTCATCGTTTGTGTGTGAGTTTACCCCCCCTTCTTCCGATGAGGGGTTGTTGGAGGCAACAACAGCAATGTCTTGGTGTGTTCCACCGACATCTGTGATGTTATCATTCACGCCCTCAGATGTAATAGTGATTACATCACTGCATAGTGCTCCAGGTTGGTTTCCCGTGTCAGTGTGTTTCAAAGTTTCTAAAAACCTGCGTAGTTTCTCTGTCTCTTCCGAGCTCAGAGGTGTAGGGCCTTGTTTCTGGAATCTTTGTGATTTTTTCGCCTCGGTTCGTTTCGTCCGAGGTGGGGGAGGGTTAGGTACGTCTTTTGGGGGTTCCTTTTCGGACTTCCCCTGATAATATGGGTCACATTGGTTCCCATATCTTTGCGTCCTACGCACACCCCATTTACGATAATCACGTTCATCCTCTGAAAGAGGAGCTTTTTTGTCCCAGCGTGTACCTTCATGACGC